TGCTCTTTATTAAATTTTAAGGGAGGTGCCATAGTGCCTAAGCATTGAGGAAACTCCAGTCAATAAGGAAGTTAACGCAAAGAAAAATAATCAAATTCCCGACCTGTTCAATAGGGGTTTCGGCTTGGCGGGTCAGGGAGTGTAATCCAGGAGATTGAACACTGATTCTTTAATCGAGTGGCATCCCCTTCTTCCTCTCCTGATGTCCTTCTTGTAAGAGGGTCCCTCTTGTGTAGCACTGAATTTCAATGGCCCACCAATCCTGTGATTCAACCCCCTTCCACTCCTGCTGCTTTCAAACCAGATGGAGATGGGAAACACAGCACATAAATAAACCAAGGCTCCCGCTATTTCTCCGTGGCTGTGAGAGAAACACGGCATTTATTAACAATAACTCATTCATGAGAAAAACAGCGATCGTCTTAGAATGTATATTAGGAAACAGGCAAAGGCAGCCCAGTGACACTGCAGTGAATGGTGAGCAAAAAGAGGCAGCAGTTTAGTGGCTGTGTGCCATGCTCAGATCTCAGGAGTGCAGTGCTTCTCGTGTTGTAGCAACAGCTCTGGTTTGATTTTGCACAGGCGGCTTATTTCAGCTCTCTTCCTTCATTTCTAATTGGATAAAACCATGAGTCAAACTCCTTTTCAAAAACGGTGTCATCCTGGAAACACTGTGATTGAGTCCATGGCCTCCCAAATGTAACACCAGCACCATCTGCCCGCTAATTGAAGCCAAGAGGTCAGTTTAGTGCAACTAATGCACAACTTCAACACAGTACTTGAGACTAGTGCTGACATAAGTGTTTCAGAATTCTAATCCTGGTATCAGTTGTTACAAGAACTGTCTTATCTGTCTCTGCAGTATTCATTAAATCCTCATTTGAAACTTTTTAATCCAAATCACTGCAATGTCAGAAGAGAAAAAGACATACTGAGTGTTTGGAATAGATGAAAAAATCAATTTCCTATATTAAATATTAGATACACATATTTCAGAGACCTAATACAACTCTCCACACTGCAAAAAGTACACATCCTACCACTGTAGACCAGCTACTACAGACACAAACATTTGGGTTTTTTCAGCCTTCAAAAATAAAAAGACAGCTGATTAATTTCATAGGGTGACTTATGATGGCGCTTTGGAGCCATCATGTTGTGATAATCCTTTGTTTTTTTTCAAATAGACTCGTTGTTAATTAAGTCTCTGTATAGGCTTACAATTGCAAATGGAAAAGTGTTATGGCAAGGCTCCAGTTTTCAATTATGGTTTGTTTAGGAATTTGCAGACATTGTTCAGCAATTAATATGATTTATTAAATACTGATCTATTCCAGCCTTGGACAATAATGAAATCCAAATGGCCTGTTTAATACAGTTATCAAGCTACATTCCATCCTTTAACTATGCTCCTGTCCAGTCCCCTTTGATAACAGTAACCTCGTCACAGTGGAACATTATTCAGCATTAGTGCCAGACTGACTCCACCCAGGTGGGAGAATTTTTAGTTCAGCTTGAGCAGACAGTTTGTCCATAAGATGTTTAAAGAGAGGAAAAAAGTTTTAACAACACAGAAACGTTCCCTTCAGTCAACTTGTGGTCCCTGGATTCTGAAGAGTTGTTCCCTATGAATTTAGTGCAGGTCTGAGGGAGTTGCAGGCCGTGGGCCGGTCATCTGCACCCGCGGGCTTCCACAACAAGACAAATGCTGTCATCCCAAATACTCTGTGGTCAAACCTACACAGGCCCCGGCCACAGTCTGCAAAGCCCACATCTGCATCCCTCTTTAAACATCTGGTTTTGTTACTGTTTGTTCTAATTCCACTTAAAGTAAAAGACAAACCCGTGTTGAAAAAAACAAAACTGAATGAAAAACTCTAATTATGTTAAACAATTATGAATATTATGTTGACCAAAATAATTAGGATAACAGTTTTGACTACAATTTAAATAGTTTAATATGGCTTAAAAGTCAATGGGAATTATGGTTATTTTTAATCAATGTTTAAATTAATTACATTTAAAATAACAATTAGATTGATCAACTACTCATAAAAAACACACAGAAATCAATCTTTTTTTATTCACAAATTGATCAGTAGTTGCATTTCTATACTCATATACTGATCCTTTTACTGCAAATATAAAGCAGGAGACATAGATTCATCCCCCTGGATCTCCTACACCACTCCCTGAATCCCAGAGCTAAGAGTAATCCTCAGACTCAGTGATTGTTGCTTTCAGCGCTAATGGAAGCCCTGCTCATTCATTATTCAGTCCAGAAAACAGAGTGCTGCAAAGTGTCGGGGGACCTTTGAGTTATTACTCAGCATGAACTAACCTCGGACTGAGAGGTGACATCAGCCCGCTGCACTTTCTCCTCTTGTGTCTCCATCCCTTTATGTCTGCGGCCCCTCCCTGTGTCCATCTGCGCCGAGCAGGCAGGAACAGGAACCACACGGGGAAAGCGAGATTGTATCACAGCTGTGGCGTTGTCAGACAGCTAGCGATGGGTGTTCTGTGTCGCTGCAGACAGGATGACTGAAGGTCTGAGCTCTCTCGTGTCACCGTGGCGCTTGACCACGGACGGCCACGGCTGGCGGGGGGGGGGGGGGGGAGGTTTCGGGGTTTTCGGCCCTCTTGGGGCCGTGGGGGGGGGAATGTGACAGGGGGGGGGGGGAGCAGAGCCAAAGGGGGTTTTTCAGAGGTTCCATGACCCGCTGATAACACAGGTTGTGAAACAGATAGGTTTGATATGTGCACATGCTCACACTTGTGCTTCAGGAACTGGACACCAGGGCCAGTGCTGCTGCAGACTAAACTATTCCTTACAGTTACCCGACTCTCCAAAAAAGCAACACACATCAGACAGAATTCCAGAAATGCACTTAAGCCGTCCTTAATATCCACGTCTAGACTTTAGAACTTTTGAATTCTTCTTTCACTTAGTTCCAAAATTTATGGTAAAGAGAAGTTACTGGAGGGGGGGGGGGTCAATCCCATTTGCTGCTACTTGTGTGTAAAGCTTATCTAGCACTCTATCTCCATGTCTGGGTAAATAAACTAAATGAACTTATCTGATAAATATACAGACTGTGAAATAGCACCAGAGTGAAAAGCTTCCCCTCCTAAGGGGACTACTTCTGTCTACATGTAGGAGAAAATATGTCCAGCCACGCGTCACTACACAAACCTTCCACATGAGATTTTAACATTTTTTCATGGCTCTCTTCCTCTGTATAACTCAGGGACTTGTCAATACCTTTGAGTCGCTACTGCTGTCAATCTGTATTGCAGATTAGAGCAAGCACTTAACAAGCCGTGCTAAAAAACAAAAACAAATCCAAAGTTTTGTCCATCTAAATGGACAAATATTAGAAAAAAATCAGTTGTAATCTGAGCCTATAATTAATTATACCAGCTGTTCATGTGAAGTTTTCCTCTGTCTACTTATGGGGTTTTTCTGGCAAGAGTCCATTTAGCTGGGCTATTTTTTTGTTTGTTTGGTTTTGTATTGTTTTGTCTTCTTTTTTTTGCAATTTGGAATTTCTGTCTTCAATTTATAAAACAACAAAATCAATATGTTGATTAAACGTTCTAAACTTATGGCAGCCCAATGTGGAATGCTCGTTCAGTGTTGTCCTACTTTTGTCTTTTTTGGCTCAGTTAAATTAACATGCATACATGACATGATGAAATTACCCAAATAATTTGCTTGGAAAACTAAGTACAAGCTAAAGAATTAATCAGGACAGCCGTTACATATGTTTTTATAAATTGGAAAGCAAAAGAAATACTTAGAAACATTGACACATTTGGATATCCTTGAAATAAATCACGGTTGTGACCTATATTACTATTACCAAAACAGAGTGACTGAATGAAGTATTCATGATTTCCGATGCTACTTTAGATGGTGAAACATGTCGAAAGCTGTGTGCCAGAATAAGAGGACGCAATCTTGTGAACTACTAAAGACTAATAATAATGAAGACATGGATGAAAAGGATTTTGCATTAAAAATGTGGTTTCAAATTAAATCTTACTTTTTTTTAAGTTAAATTAATCAAAGGGAAACTGGGGGGAAATTACCTTTCCACTTAAGGAGATTACATCTGCTACTTAGGCACCAGTTGCTAAGCTTGTACAGTTACTTTCATGACTTTCTACTGACACACAACTACAATGTAACTATGCTATGTGATGTGAAGAGAAAAGAACAATAGAATAGGACATCATGATGTATTTAAGAACATTAACATTTATAGAGGCTTAGCTGTGGACTAGAGTGGTTTCAAAACCAGGCCTTCTCTCACTTTGCTTCTTTGACTTTTTTAATATGTGGTTTGTACATGAGCGCCAAATGTAATTTGCTGAAAATAGTGAATTTAATTCATAAGAAGGCTGTTTCTGCCCTGGGTATTAATTATTATTATTATGCTTCACTATCACACAAGCCTAGCATATCACACAGACACACACACACACAAACACATCACTGCACGCAAAACGCCACAGTGCACTTGCTCTGCTCCTCTCTGAACCCTCCTTCCCACGATCCGCCCACCACCTCGGGAATGAAGTCACGTGTCCCACCGCCTAGTGTCTCTCGGCGAGTCTACACCGCCATAAATTAAAGTCAGTCAGCACCCGGCAGAGCAAGGGGAGGATGCGAGGCAGGCGGAGAGGCTACATACGGACGAAAAGCCCCCACGACGCACGCAAATCACATCCAATAGATGACATCGGCGCCGTGGTCTTCAGATACAGATTTTTTTTTTCTGCTTCCAAAGGCATCCGAAACAGAGGAGAGGATGAGATTCACGCGCAATCTTGGACACTCTTCTCACTGTGATCTCAAACAGTCCGCCTGTGTGCCGCGGTGCGTCAGGGGTGTTCTGAACACGGGGCGCACACCAGCTCAACTGTGGACTGAACACAACTGTTAGGAGAATCTTTTTGGGAGTACTTGTGGGCCGAAAGAGGGATTGATCTCCATCATGAGAGTTCTCTCGGCAAACTTGTTTGCCGTGCTCATAATGTGCGCCCTCGCAAGTGTTTTCTACGTCTGGAGCGCACTGGAGGACCGTTTGGAGAGACACAAACGGGGCTTTTCAACACCGGGCGAAGGGTCTTTTCACCAAGGTCTCCCAGAGGACCTCTCAGCCAAAACTTTCCGATCACTGCTTGCGGTTCCGGCTCAACACAGAAAGAACTCGGGTGGTGGATTTGTGGCTCGCAACGTCACCAATCAACCTGTCTCTGTGGGAAGTCGAGATTACCTTGTGAATGGGGATAACAGGTCCGCGCAGCGTGAGAGTCCGGTCAAGACGGGCTCCCCAGTGGACGATGGGATATTCTGGAGTAAATGGCTCGAGGATCTGCTCCCTGCAGGATTCACGGAGGAATACGCTGAGGACTGGAGGCAAAAAGCGAGGACATCCCGAGTGGTGAAACTGGAGCCTGGATGCGGCAGGATATCCAATCAGCTCGCCACCTTTGCGGATGGAACTAAAGCCTGCGTGCGTTACGGAATAAACGCGGACCAAGTGCAGGGAGAAACTTTGACGTATTACCTAGCCAGGCTGCTCGGCATCAGAAACCTGCCTCCCCTGGTACTGTCGCAGCTCGACGGCGAGAGCGAGCAATGGGCGGATGTGAGGTCGCGGATAGAGAGTTTGCAGTGGAGCGGTCGAGCGGTGGTTTCCCTCACAGAGTGGATCTCCAACCTGACCGGAGTTGTCACACCTGCGCCGCTCAGGCAGGAGAGCAGCGGGCTGCACGCCACCCTGGAAGGACTCCACAACAAGACGGTGGGAGAGCTGCTGGAGCTGATGCAGTGGACCGACCTGATCATATTCGACTACCTGACGGCAAACTTCGACCGACTCGTGAGCAATCTGTTCAGCCTGCAGTGGGACTCGCGCGTCATGGAGAGGGAGACCAACAACCTCCTCAAAACGTCCAAGGGCGACCTCGTGTTCATAGACAACGAGGCCGGGCTGGTGCACGGCTTTCGGGTGTTGGACATGTGGGAGAAATACCACGCGTCGGTCCTGAACTCTTTGTGCGTGTTCAGGAAAAGGAGCACGCAGCGCGTGGCCGAGCTGCACAGGCGCGGGGACTCCAGGCAAAGGCTGCTGGAGCTCTACCGACACAGCGAGCCTTTGTCTCAGGAACTGGGATTTCTCTCGGATGAACACGCGGGTGTTCTCCAGGACAGGATAGACAGATTACACGAACACATTTCGCATTGCAAAGAAAAGTACAGCCGGCTATGAACACCTAACGCGCACAGACGGTGGCTCCGTAATCTGCACAGCGTAACGGGCTTTTGCAAACAAGATTTGCACACCTGAGCAAAAATGATGCGCATTACGCAAAGACGTCTGAGTATTCAGCTGAACTACCTCTTGTGAATAAGTAAATTGAACAAATGAGTACATTTGACACGTTTATAAGCTTCCCCCTGAGACTTTCACTTAATGCCTCAATGAGAGGAGTAATTGTGGCCAGTTTATCCTGTGTTACTTCACTCCATTGGTTCCTCCTCATATATACAACTGCAAAGAGCATATAGGCCTATAGGGCACCATGACGTGAGCTATGTGTTTGGACGTTTGCCTTGTGTTAATTTATCCCAATGAACAATTCTTAAGCCTTAAATCTTCTCTTCTGAGGTATCATCATTTTGTGGACATCTCACTTTTGAAAGCATTTTGCACACATTGTAACATACAGCACCTGCACTCATGTAAACGTGTTGGGATTGCATATTAAGCCTTAAAGTCGCAGTTGTGTCATTTATTATGTATTTGTATGTTGTAAATATTGTCGGACAACTGATTTTGATGTTAAACTAATTTAATGTACTAATTTAGTGTACATTATGACATTCCAAAATCTTCCCTTTATATATAAAAACATTGTGCTTTCATTGAGATTCTGTTATACATGTGTTCTGTTCTTAAATGATTCATCAGAAGGCAGTGGAGTCAGTATTAAGGGATGAGGTGGGGGGGGGGGGCTTTGTTTGTATGTACACCGCTTGCATTATGATATAAGAAATCACACTCACCACACTATAACCCCGAAAGCCTGCCTGTCAGCCACAAGCACGCAACAACACAGATCTCTCTAATCCTCTTTATATTCTCACACAGAACGACGAACTAAAGGAGACAAGTAACGTTATTTGTCAAGATTTGCAAAGGGGTTTACTCTTTCCTTACTGTAATATTATGAACCCCTTTTCACATGGTATTGTGAGTATTTCTCGCACGTTAAAAATGATGATCATAGGCCCAGGTGGCTTTTTGGTTCAGCGTTGAAGTTCAAGTTTTTCACTGGCTGAAAAAATGACCGGATTCCATGAGGCAAAAAAAAAAAGAATACCAACAAAGAAACTTCTATATCTCACTTCACATCAATACACCAAACTTTAATTTCACCATTGTGAACGTACCCTCTCTTATGTCTTCCACCACAACCTTATTGTCATGCTTCCATTTTTTTATTCATGAGAAAATCAGAGGGAAATAGTCACATTTTTGAAGGTATAATGATTCCCAGCCTCTTTGCTATCATATGCCACATATGGTTTCTTTTATAATCTTTTTCACAAGGTCAGACGACACCCCATTATCGGTTCCAGCAGTTCCAATGAATGGAATGATAGCATTTTTTTTTTCAAAAAGTGGCCTGCTTTTGTAACTTGTAGTTTATTCAGTGACTAACAGCACATTTGTCAGTGATTTGTGCCTTTCCTACAAAACATGTGCAAATAGGTGTAACTGTGGGATTTTTTTTTCCAGGACTCAGCACTAAAAGGGACTTTGGGATCAATAAGTTCACTCACAGCTGTACAAGCGAAAGGGGGTCATGCTAATTAGTTGTGTGTAGGGTTATTTGCAAATGTTTGGCTATAAAGGGGTTTGCAAAGGCTGCACTTGCAGCAGGGCATGGCTTTATGAATGTCTGTTTATGCAGTGCAGGGAGATTTATGACAAGCTGCAGACACCAGGGATCAAAAACAATGCCAAAATGAGGTCTGCATGTCTAAACCAGACTTCAAACCTTTCTTCTTTCCTGTCTTGAACTATTTCCACAATCTGTATTTCATCCACATTTCATTCTTTGTGCCATGCGTATGTCTTCACGATCAACATCACTGTCAACTTCCGTTATTGTCTAAATAGAGAATGAAAGTTTCATTTACCTAATTAGTTTTTTTATGAATTCTTCCGCACAAGAAAGTCTTTTAACTGGAGACCATGCCAGCAGTAATCACACTAATGGGAAGGAAATCAAAGAGGCGGTTGAATCACCCCATAACTGTTCACATATGTTCTTCCTTCACTCTTCCTGCCTTGTCCTCTTCACTCCCCCTCTTTCCACCCAAAAGCAACAAAATCCAACAGCACACAACTTCCTAAAGCGGAACTCGTCTCAGCTTGTGATACCAGTAGCAGTTGTTATGCAGAAGAAGAAAACTGGCCTTACTTTGTACAAGTAAGTATACCACTGCTCCTTTCAGATTTGCTTGTTTTCAGAATAGACTGAAATTGTGGTGGATTTAATCATACAGCAAGCAGCCCAAGACAGGCCTGAGCACAGACTCCAGGTACTCAGGCAGATCTTCTTTTTTGTGCACATTACAAACATTCCAGAGGAGCTGAGGGAGGATCATCTCCATGGACACACAAGCACAGGCCGACACTGCTCAGGCAGGCAGTGAAAGGAGTTCCAGCTGTGTACATAAACCCCAGTAAAAGTTAATTATTTTCTAAAAAGTAAAAAGACGAGGGAAAGTCATGATAACCAGCGAGTCATGTAAAAAGAATGCAGCATTTGATTAGTGGCACGTTTAGAAAAGAAATGCCTCACTGTGAATAGTCTTTTTGCAGACAGCAAAAGCACCTGAGGAGTTTAACTCATCTTAAATACTAGAAACAGTTAGCATCAAATCTGCATCTAGCACATGTTCAGCTATATCTTGCTTGATCTCTACAAAAAGAAAAAAAAAATCAGAGAACTCTGCAAGTTTTAGAGCTTTTTCTTGGAAGAGGATAAACTGCAACTATTTATCATTTATCGATACTTGACTTTTCTTAATGTACCCTCCGACAACATAAACAAGTACAAGTTTTATTTAGCATGACTGCACAGCTTAATTGCCTTACAAGTCCCCACAATTTTGCACTGGAGACCAAAGGTCAACTCCAGGATGAGATTACTGTTTGTCTGCTTAGTTTATAACATGAACTTAATTTAATTTTTTGTTGGTGCTATTAAGATACTTTACTCATGATTGCACAGAGCTGATTCAGCAGTTTTCTGGTGTCCTGTCTGATTGCTAAACTGAGCAAAAAAAGACCACAGGCTATTGCCTTGTTTTTCTTAAAGAGATCTTTCAAATCTGGACTTTCAGCTTCAGAATTAAAAGACTGATTTACTGCGTCATTTAAAATTTTATGGGTGCTTTTGCTTGATATCAGGTGACAAAGTGGCGATGTCCCCGTCCTAATGGGGCCTGCCATGCTCAAGGGGATGGACATAACTAGCATTCTTTCATGGCTTCATGTGGCAAGGAACTTCCTGTGCATGACTGAATGGCTTCATTATGAAACATAGGAAGAGTCACTTAGTCACAGCTGAATGAATGCAGGCCATGCTGGGTAAACTGGGGGGGCTGATTTGATGACTGGAAGGGCTTTGACATTTTAAAGGGTGGACATTCAAACTGTGACGTGCTTGCAATGGTTGCTCAAAGCCGTTTTTTCTCCAAACCACAGTTTGGGTATGGGTTCAGAATCTTTGCACATTTCATCTTTGGACGAAGCAGACAGTATTTAATTTCACACGCACATAGCAGAAAGGAGAGGGTGCTTCAGTGGGAGGGAAATAAGCTACGTAGGGTCTCCAGAGTGTGAAATTGGAGGTCACATGATTTTGATGATGAGTATGATTCGGTATGAAATATTCATTACAACTCAGAAACAAGCACAAAAGAGAAGGACAAAAACAAAAAATAATTACATTGGACATCTGCAAGGAAAAAAAAAAGATATTTTAAATTTCTTATCATCTTTCTATATTTTATTTTAAACATTTTAAATGATTGACCCTTTTTGGTAGTAGTCAGTCCTGAGTTTGTTGTTTCCCACCTCAGACAGGAAATGGGATCCAAGTCTCATCAATTCACTGTAAATGAGAAACAAACACTTTAATAGAAAATTATATAATTTGTATAATGTGTTGCTCCAGAACACATAATAAATTTATGGCGTGATTATTTATTTTTAAACTGACATTCAACGGTTTCCCATAATTTCAAGTCTTTATGCTAGACAAAGCAATAATCTTGTGTTGAAAATTATTCATTGTGTCATCTGCCTCAAGAAAGCAAATAAGTAGGGATTTGGATCATATCAATCATTGGATGGTAATTGTCTTTCTTGAACAACTCCCTTTATGTGCATAACTGGTTTGTTTATGTTCTCTCAAAGCATATCCTACATGGAAACAATGTAGATTTTGACAGCTGTCAAACTAGTGGCAAGATTGTTAAAGAAAAGCACATAATCTTCCACTGTAAAATAGAATCCATCAAAAAAACAAAACAAAAACTATTTTTTCTCTTGATGTGATTTGATTTTTTAAGTCAGCGTGCAAAAACAATCCTGTTAATTTCACTACTTAATGCCTTCTTATTTGTCATGCTTCCTCTCTCAAGCTCTGTATACAAAATGTCAGACTGTAGCCTGCAGAAACTTGTAACCTTCATCCGATTTAAATTCAACATTTGCATTTTACGCAGAACAAAAAGAATGTTAAATAAATTCCTCAACATTTTTTTCCAGTAGACTTCTATTGTGATGGTGGTAGTAAGCAACCATGTAATGTGGGAAATGATGGCAACCCACATACCGATGCCACGTTTAGATTAACAATTTTACCACTCTTGTAAACTAGTTAATACCACACATTTTAAACGGACACTTTACTAATTTTGGGCTACTCACTCCTGCTTTTACAACCCATACAGTGGCCTTGAGTTGAAGCGTTTCCCTCCTTGCTTTCCCTGAAATATTACACCGCACATGATGCTTGATGGATTTTGATTTCCTTCTTGGTGATGCCTATTGATGCCTTAGCACAGCCAGGGGACCTGTTTCAAGTACATGCTGTTTTGCATTTGGATTCATCTCTATGTAAATGCGAACCAGTATGCTTATGGAAATGATCTTTTTTATTCTTTTGCCAAAAAAGAATAACTGAT